TGACTAACAGATTATGTGGATTAGAGCGACATTCACCATATTTAAAACAGCAAAAGGTTTTCCTGGCACACTCACAAGCTAGCATGTAAAAAAAAACGTGTCTCACACTAAGGTTAAAAACAGTGGTTTGGATACACGTCTTCTGCAGAAAATGTGACCGCCGCACAGCCGCGCCAAGGCACCTCTTATAGTGCGGTCCTAACTCTAAACTACTGTATCAGAGTCTCCATCTTGGAGCACATGGGGCAGAAGATAAAATTGGGTGCAGGTTTGTCAGGAGGAAGCCCAACCCCCCTTAAAGGCACAGAGACGCACAAGGGATCCCACACATCACAATGGCAGCTGAGACCCCCCATGCATCACTGCACCAAATCAGTTTTGCTGTTTTACTGTTTAAAGCCCATTCCGTGTGCACCTTGCTGTAAAGCTGGTGACGAATTGATGAGTGCGTTTGTCATCTGTTTTGATTCACCATATTTATTCCCAGATAATTTTTTCTACAAGTCATTCTGAATTGAGAAAGCTGGTCGGATGTCCAGTGAAACGTCTTCAAGAAAAATACAGCAAGTCCAGTTGCCTTGACTTATTTTTTACAGATAAAAAAGTAAACAGTGCGACATGCTGGGAACAGTTCAACAGCACAGAGTAAATTCTGATTGTGTACTGTGGGTCAATTTATAAATGTTTTCACACAAGATTCACACAACCTTTTCCCAGGATTTACACATTTTCCAAGTTAATCTAATTATACATTTTGAGTGAAACTTGTGTAAATCTTGGCTGAAAAGATTTCTAAACAGACTGGCAGTTTTACATTTATAAATGTATCTTTTTTTGAAGAAAAAACAAAAAGTACATCCTGTAAGTGTCCACAAGTTTTTCATGTGAGCATTTTTGTTTATTGTGTGGCAGTATTATTCATGCCCCTAAAGAGAACTACAGCTAAGGAATGCTTGTTACTGTGCCACAGATAAAGTGTATGCCAAGACAAAATTAAAAACATAATTAACATTGGCAGGATACAGTAAATCTGCAATACATGCATACTGCCTTGTGTTTTATACCATTAAAGACCTTGCAGTTACAGAAAAATACCTGTTGATCTGCGGAAATACACTTTGGGCTTTAACCCTTTTCGTTGCTGACGAAGCTGCCGCCAGATTTCTTCCAGGGGCCAGTGAAAAATGCCCTCCCTCCCAACACCCCATGCCTTGCATCCTGGGCTCCGCTGCCCCTCCTGTGGGCCTGGGACTGGCATCACGGGTGTTGCCGATCTCCTCCCCGTTAAATGGAGCCGGAAGCCATTCTGATTGCATCACTTACAGCTCCTCAGCTGTCATTCCCCAGCTAGAGAAGCCAGGGAAGAAGCTATTCAAGCACAATCTGTGCTCGAATAGCTTCTTTGCAGTGGAAAGGTGTCACTAGGGGTCTAATAGACCCCCAATGACACCTTAAAGAGAACCTGTCACCACCTAATATGCAGATTTTGCAGGAAAAGTTGGCATTTGCATCTTCTAATAGTTTTGACATGTAGCTATCACTGGAAGTAACCTCTGCGTATGCATTTTTTATTATATCATCTAAAAAAACTTTTTGTGATAGGTTTACTGTAAATGTTAAAGTAGAACTGAAGCCCAAACTGGTTTTTAGTTTTGGATAGAGTAATGGAGGGTTATAACCCCTGTCAACTTTTTTGTCATTTGTGTCCCATTGGGGAGGCTTACCTTCACTTCCTGTCTGACAGTAACAACAGGAAGTGGGAAGAAATCCCTTCAAAGTGAGGGAAATCCCTGATGGTGAGAAGGTTCACCCAAACTGGTGTCCCCATTGGAAGATTTCTCATCTATTCCTGTTCTGGTGACAGTCCCATTTTCTTTCAGTGATAACAGTCACCAGGACAAATAGAGGGGGTGAATCTCTATATCGGGGACACAGACAGCAATAAAAACTGCAATAAATATTCTATACAAAACATAAATGAATGACCACAGCATACATTTATAGTTAAGGTGGGCAAACTGTGGCCCTCCAGCAGTGGTGCAACTACAAATCCCATGAGGCATTGCCAGACTCTGACAGCCACAGGTATAACTTCCAGAGGCAGATGCATGATAGCATTTGTAGTTTCACCACAGTTGGAAGGCCGGTGTTTGTCCACCCCTGATGTAAAGGAACCCTGCGAGAATGAAAATATAAGAGGTACATTTGCTAAATTATTTAACAGTACCGGCTGCGATCTTGACTGAGGTACTGAGTTGGAAAAGGAATGCAGTCATTGAAGTCTGAATTTCTGCATGTTTTTTCCAAGTCATTGATTGTCAAGCCAGTATAAGGAAGCCCTGGAACTTGCACACTTCAAAGGAAGTATACCATGGCATGGCTGCTCCCACATTTCCATTACCACACAAGTTCAGTCCTAATGGAAAGAAAACCCATTTCCCTTGGGAATTATTTGCAGACCTACAGGTAACAGCAGTAAAAGGCCACTTTTTGCAGGCAGTCCATAGGACCAAAGAATAAGATTCTTGATGCATAATATGGTATATTATTTGTAACATGTAATGTGGGGTAACTACTAATTTCAATGTACTTTTTGCTCAGCTCTGAAAAGCAGTGTCTAGATATTTATTGCAAAATTAAACAGCACCATCTAGTGTATGACAGTAGGATTGCCAGCACCAGTAAAAAAATGATCATGCAAGGCCATGGTAGTAACGTGCTACTACTGAAGGGGTGGGAAACTCTGGCCCTCCAGCTGTTTTGGAGCTACAAGTCCCATGAGGCATTGCAAGGCTAACAGTTACAGTCATGACTCCCAGAGGCCAAGCCATGTTGAGATTTGTAGTTAAAGCACAGCTGGAAGGCCAAAGTTGGCAATCCCTGTGCATGCTTTTCTCCCTCATCTGCTCTAAAGTAGCACTGTGAGAGAATAAAACTTTTCCTGGCCAGTTCCTAATTATGCGGCTGTTTTTGAGTGAAAATCTCTCTCATCTTCAGTAATAAATCTGTTGTAGAACTTTGCTAACCGTCCCAGTTGCTACCCAGGAATACAGACACCCAGGACTGTAAACCAATCATGGAGACTTTACTGAAGGAGCAGAAGCCTGATTAACTAATTGCTAATTGTGTTGCTAATTTGCTTGATAAATGCCTCCCCCCCAGTCTGCTTATGCACAGGGATACATTCTTGTAGAAGAAGAAGTTAATGAATAAGCATTTACTTGAAGATAAAAAATAAAACAAAGGAGGAAGGCCTCATATGGAATTGGCTATTGTCAATTTTCTGAATTCTGTGACCTTCAAATATACGTCTACTTATAAATCTATCATGACAAATAATGCAATTTAAATAAGATAAGATACTCTAGCCCAAGTTAAACTCAATGACTGGATGCTTTAAAACAGGGATAGACAACCTTGGCCAGCATTTCTCAACTTTTTGTTGGCACCCTTTAAAAATATGGCAAATTTCAAGGCACCCAAGTCTAAAATGTAATAAAAAATAAATGTAAAACACTATGTGTGGCCCATCCAAAATTCATATCAGACCCTTGTCCTAGATAGGGGTCTGGTATGGATTATAAGAGGGACCCCACATAATGAATCCATCTCTGGAACCCACATTCCATAAATTATCATTAAAATGGCATGAAGTTGTTCCAAAAATTTACAGCACCTCTGTGGAAGCCAGAACGCACGCCAGGGTGCACCGGCAAACTGGTTGAGAAAGGCTGAATTAGGCACTCCAGCTGTTGTTGAACTACAAGTCCCATGAGGCATTGCAAGAATCTGACAGCCATAGGCATGACTCCCAGAGTGATGATGTAGTTTCAAAACAGCTGGAATGTCAAGGTTGCCTACTCCTGCTCTAAAATCAACCAAAAAAGAACAATTAGCAAAATAGGAAAACAAATCAATCTAAACCTAATGCCTTCTGTGTAAATAAATGAAATAATACACTGTATAAATTCAGTATAAATCTTTGACCCCCATGAAACAGACAATGTTGATCCATTAGTCACTAAATATAGTGGGGCATGCCTTTCTGCCCTGTCCCCACCCATTGCTCATCTTAAGCTTCTCTCTACTGCCATCCAGTAAATGGTCTGCTTGAGCCAGTTTGACTCTTTTTTTTTTACTGGTTTAGGACTGTTAAGCATTATAAACATACACATTAACCTAAATATGGTTTAATTATAATAATTAGAGATATACTGTAGGATGGGTTCAAAGTTTTAACGTTTTTCCTGCTTTTATTTCCCTTCATTTATTTCATTGACTGGGGCCTTCTTTCTGAATTACCAGCTGCCCTCTTGCACTATACAAACTTCTGCTATGTACCAATGGCTTGTTCTTGGGGTCAGTGGCAGGTTCAGATCACTAAGTAATCCACAGTATTGACATATGAAACCATGTGCTTCTATAACCTAGGAAATGCACAGGAGTTGACTCATGGAACCATTTATTTATTTAATATGTTTATTCTGTCACTGGTTAGGTTGGCACAAATCAGAAAGCCTAGCAAAGATATAACCTCTGACCCACTGCCATCTGTAGTTACATTTGAGATTATTCAGTAAGTCATCATAAAGACCAGTAACAGTGTACAAATTGCAAGAACCCAGAGCAAACAACCAGATTTTACTTTTCTGACCCCAGGAAACATAATCTGATTGCTTGCTTTTGGTTACTGCATATTGCACATTATCAGTATTTTGTACTGCTTTGTTAAATGACCCCAAAATATACTAAAACATTCCAGATTCATACTAAATATTACTAACTACAATTAGTACGCCCTCTATATGAACTAATTCACTATGTCAATGAAGGGTGCAGGCAACTAATGACCTGTGAATTATATGGTGCTGATAAGAATGCAAAACAGAAATTAAACCTACTTGTTACCAAGCACATTGTATATATACTACTCCAAAACCTCCAGTGGTAGCAAATGCCATGCTAGCTAACGTAATGTGTATTGTGCCCTTGCTTCCTAGGGACTCAGAATTATATTTGCAAATGGATCAAGGATTATATTTCGACTCAGTGCCTCAGGCTATGTGGGAACCACTCTGCGAATTTATGCTGAAAGCTATGAAAAAGATCCAAGCAAGCACAATAGGGAGCCACAGGTAAATGGTCTTTGTTTTTACCGCTGTAATAAACTATAACATATAATATCATTTATAATGCTAATATAGCTCATTTATGATGGACACATTTAGTACTATGGTTTTAAATGATTTCAAATTAGCATTTCCAAAGGCATTCAAAGTTTGTATTCAACACCCACAAATACCTAGAGTCATGGTAGGATTCTTTGCCTATTACAGGTCTGCTGTGTGACCGGACCAGAAAATGTCTTTGAAAATAAGCTGCCTAGACCAGCTTTTTACTTTTTCCAACATTTTTTCATATGCTGAGACATAGTACAGCCTATAAACTTGTTGATGATTTACTAACTTGTGAAATGAAGTAAAGCGTTGCTCATTTCAAACATTTTAAAAATTAAGCTCCTCCTTCAGATGAATGGATGTTTAACTTGAAAATAGGTTCCCCCATATAACATGAATCAGAATCGGGTCAAACCTCCTCTCAGATTCAAAAAGATAAAATTATCTTTTCTTCCTCCATAGCCTGAAAAACCCAGGGATTTTGCTTTTGCTCTTACCATTGGTATAGAGTACCAGCCTAGCTCCATAAACTTTACCCACAAATCTATACAGTGTGTTGGATATGTGGCAACCAACCAACCAGCCATGCTCCTACCCATATTTTGTAAGTGTCCACTTTTGCAAAATGTTTTGTCTGCAGTTAAATCAATCATTACCAACAGATATAGATTTAGGAGATGGCCCAGCAGCATTCCCCCTACACTCTAACCATCTGTCTAGGGGTGCATACAAACTGTCCTTTGTTACCCACCTCTTAAATGGCATTCCACTATATTGAAGATTGACCTCTCCCCCACCATTTTCTCATTGGTGTTCCAAAGATTGGGAAACCTGATGCATGGAGGACCCTACTTCTTCTCCTCAACACCCATTAAAATTTATAGAACAATGTGATTTTAATAGCACCAATTCTGATTCTCTGAAGAATACCTACATCTCCTCATGGAGTGACCACACTAATCCACTCCCATGATCCCTTTCTCTGTATTGTCTAAGAACATACTTTCATCTATTACCCACACTAGAAGCAACCTACCTTTAGAGCATACATTAGGCAAAATCCTAACCCCCCTTTCTTCTTTACCACCCTTCATCCTTCACCCCTGTATTCTGTACCCTATCCACCCTCTTGCATCCCCACTCTACCCCCTCCTTTTCCTCCCCTTTTTTCCTTTTTTCCCTCTTGGGTGCAAAAGCTGTTTTAGTTAGCCAATAGAGTCTGGGTCATGCTGACTCTTCTGCCCACCCACCAACTGTCACTTACAGTTTGGAGCCACGTCTACTGCTCACCAACCACCATATTTATTGTACAGTGAGCTGTTCGGCTATTCACTTCAGGCTTGTACGGCTAATTCCAGCCGTACATCGACTGAAATCAGCCATACATCGGCTGGCTTTGGCTGCACTTCGGTCAGCCGAACATACTCTGCAGAAGAACTTCAACTCAGCCGATCCAAGCTCTGAAGCTCCGGGACCTGCTAGAGTCTTCTAGCAGGTCCCGGCCAATGAATAACAACTGGGCGGAGCCCGCGGTTTAATGACAGTTCAGCATCCCCAGGTCATTTGGGGATGCTGATCTGTCATTACAACTGGGCGAAGCCAGCTGTGAGATCACAGCTGGCTCTGACCAAGTGTCATTTGCAAGGCGTTTGGGCCCTGCTTCGGCTGTCACTTCAGCATATGCCTTCAGCTTGGCTGAGCCACTCGGCCGACTTCGGGAGCTGTACGGGCTATAGTGAATAGCATGTACAGCAGCCCTTTGGTTCGACTGAACCGAAGGGCTCCCGCAACCGAAGCTAGCCGAAGGATTAGCTGGAGCTACGGCTGATCCTTCGGCTAGCTTTGTGAACCCCCTAAATGTTTTAGTGTGTCCCTAATAACCACAATAGTGTAAAATCCAACGATTTTCATCACTACACAGTAGGCCAAATCTAGAGTCTTGCTAGAGTCCTGCTAGAGTCTTCTAGCAGGTCCCGGCCAATGAATAACAACTGGGCGGAGCCGGCGGTTTAATGACAGTTCAGCATCCCCAGGTCATTTGGGGACGCTGATCTGTCATTACAACTGGGCGAAGCCAGCTGTGAGATCACGGCTGGCTCTGCCCAAGTGTCATTTGCAAGGCGTTTGGGCCCCGCTTCGGCTGTCACTTCAGCATATGCCTTCAGCTTGGCTGAGCCACTCGGCCAACTTCGGGAGCTGTACGGGCTATAGTGAATAGCCCGTACAGCAGCCGTTTGGTTCGACTGAACCGAAGGGCACCCGCAAACCGAAGCTAGCCGAAGGATTACCTGGATTTTCATCACTACACAGTAGGCCGAATCTATTAAAACATGAAATCGTCCTTTTTTTCTATAGCTTGTTAGTGTTTACAAAAGGCTATAAAACTGTCAACATCCTTCTTTCAATAGCTTAGTTTAACAATCCTTTTTTCTATAATAATGACTGCAAGATACAAGGGACAGAGCTTGTACAGAGGGTGTCATAATTTAGAGTTACCTAGGGCAGCACAATATCTAAATACAGCCCTAACACGTGGCCCCCGAATATCAATTTCAAACCTCTGTTGACAATATTCTTTTATGCTGATTTTGTCTTGTAGACTCAGCGCCGAAAAGCAATTCACGGGTAAGGGGGCTGAATCAAAGATTGGCTAAAACTCATTGATGCAAATACATACCTGCTAATTACTTTCCAAAAAAAACAATGTCACAAAGATGACTAGATAAGTTCATGTGACATGACAGAATGTTCCCTTACTAAGCCATCTGTAGAGCGAGTGCAGTTCAATGCAGTCTGAAAAACTAAATACGTGAGGATGTTTTGTACATGAACACAATGCACACGCACTGGAACATCCTTGAGTAATTGTTACAGCTGACGCCACTTATGGAATCATTAGGAAAATATAGTTATTCATTACCGGCTGCCTTGTTCAATCAATGATTTCCAGAAGCCATGCAACTAGGATGTATGACCTTCTATGAGAACAGTACAGGCTTAATTCTTGTTACAAAAATTACTTACTGACACACAGCAGCATCGAAAAGAACTAATCAATTCATTGTGGTGTCTGACGTGAATATGATGTTGTAGTTCTCAGTGAGCTTATGAACCATAACCACAATTCAAATACGTTGAGGTTAATAATAAGTGAAGGGAAGGAGAAATGGAGGTGTTGTCTGTTACATCCAATCAGATTCCTGAATAAGGGTTAATTGCTATTTTTGGACCTTCACATTTTCTTCCTATAGCAAGGGGAAAGGAAATACAATGCACTCTTCATCAACTGTATACCTAAAGTACAATTAAACACACTTTTTTGCATATATTTACTGCTAGCTTCCCTAAGGTGATTCCAGTAAATCTACCTGGAAAATCAGGATGTAAGTAGGCTGTTTTCAGCTTTGTCTATACATAGTTACAGCATTATATCTATCATAGTGTGTTTGTCTTTGGAGTTTCAAGGGTACAGTTCTTATTTTTTGCATATGTAATGTTGGTGAATTTCAAAACACCAGTTGGGTCTACCATGTCCACCCTTCCTGCAACTCATACATTGACAGTCTGCTTGCCATTTTCCTTTTTGCTTTAAAAATTACAGAAATCATACAGCATCTATACCTAAGGAGCCCTTTGGACTTTTCTTATGGACATATTTGTTTTGCTTTTGCATTACATTACATAAATGGTAATAAATTAACCGTGTTTTATCGGCGAAAACAACTTGTTATGTTGTAGCTATGGTTTTACAGCTGTGAGAGTCAAGCGTTTGACTTGCTGCACCCTAAGTAGTTTCACAGATACAACCCTTTGCAAAGCCTAGTGAAAAATGTAGTAATTACATTGATGGCATATTATTTGAATGCACTGCTATCAATCACTTTCAGCTTCATAGACATTTTACTGTCAGCAATATTGTAAACTGAAAGAGAGTGCGCTGACTATTTAAACATTTAAATTATGAAATAAACATTTTAAGACTTGCACTCACATCTCTAACACTTTTGACTGTAAGGGTCTATTTTTAAAAAACATTTGCATAGCTAAAACAGCATGTTCTTTGTTCTGTGTGAAAAAAACAACTGTTAGGAGACAAAATCTAATGTTCTTAGGCTATTTTGTCTTCTGGCCGATTGTTCTTCAAATATGATGGACAGTAGTAAAAATAGGTTAATTCATATAGAGCATAGAGTGAATGGGGGGAAATACTGCCACATTATGGCCACTAGATGGAGCTGAGGACAATGGCAAACAAACACACCCTAACAAAGGGTTTTTCACAAAGAAGCCGAAGTATATAGTCGTAGGTTCGGCTAATCCTTCAGCTCACTTGGGCCGCCGGAGCCCTTTGGTTCAGTCCAACCGAAGGTCTGTTGTACGGGCTATTCACAATAGCCTGCACAGCAACTGAAGGCAGCCAAAGCATATACATTCGGCTCCGCTGAGCCAAAGAAACGGCTGAAACAGACTGTTCTCCCTGCAAAATGTAAACAAATAGTAAAAAAAACAGTGCGGGGTCCCCCTCTCTTTTAGGTCTAGAAGGAATGTTACCAGGGACCCCCCCCCCCCTTTAAAAATGTAAGAAAAAAGTGTGTGAGGTTCCCCCCAAAAGTCCTACCAGACCCTTTAGGTCTGGTAGGAATTTTAAGGGGTAACCCCACCACCAAAAAAAGAGAAAAAAAGTGTGGGGTCCCCCTAAAATTCCATACCAGGCCACATGACCTTGGCATTGGGAGGGTGCCTTTCCAGGGGTCCCCCTATGCTGATGGAGGCATTGGCGTTCCTTAAATACAAGGAATGTAACAAAAAATGCAAACTAGTAATCCGGGAAGCTAAAATAGAATGCGAAAAGCATATCGCCGCAGATAGTAAAAAAAAAACTAAATTCTACCAATATATTAACAGTAAAAAGGTAAGAAAGGAGCAGATAGGCCCAATAAATGACTAAAAAGCTAAAG